GCACTGAAGCGAGTATACAGATGCAGATACATCTTTGCCTAGTAGCTTTTTATCCCACTTCTGGTTATATATCTCTCTTTTCCTCTTATGTCTAGTATCGAGAGTGGCACTATCCTGCTCTCGGAATATCCATTGATTTTAATTGTTAGGAGATGACCAAGATTTCTTTTGTTGGTCGCGATTTTAATGATTGTTCTTTCTGTGTCTGTGTGCGCACTTTGGTTGTCGTTTTGATTTTAGCTTTTGTGGGCTTCCAAGCCTTTGTGTATGGAATTGAAAAGAAGGTGGGTAGATATTTTGTTCAGCAGCTTTTATGTACTTGAGTATATTGAGCGTCCTTGATATAAAGCTCGTTATTTTCTAACTCAAATGCTTCAAATATTGAACAAAGGTATAAGCCCTATTCAAATATAAGACTGGATGTAAACACAGTATTGCAATGTGAGCATGATATTTAAAAACTAAAAGATTGGACAGGGTCTTATTTAGAACCGCTACTCGCTACCGAAGCCGATTTTTCTGCTTGCAACCTTCGGCCAAAGCCTAATACATAGCCGAATGTTTAGTTTGTCAAAAATTTTTAATAAGAATAAAATGGCAGAAACGTTTTTACCCTTAACGCTGTTTCTAATAAGTTTTGACCTCGGTTCTAATGCAATATTTATTATCTATTATCTAAACTTGTTGAGATTAGGTAAAATCTGATGATAGTTAGATGGTCAATAATGTTCTGTTTTATTCGCATTGTATTAAATTATATTAGAAAACGGCACATAGAAAATTTCAGATTGCCAGGTATTTTAGGAAATAATAAAAAGTTTCTGAAATTGTCATTCTTTTCTGACACACAAGATTTGTTTATCGACTTTGATAATATTAGAGAACGACTTCATTTGCAATAGTGATTTGAAAACAGCTACACATTCACATAGCTACTCATGAGTCATCCGATTCCATGAAACAATCTCAAGATTATACATTGTAATAAGGTCAGTTTTAATACTGTGATCAAATCAATTTAAAAAATGCTATTATAATTGCTATTCATTGAAGGCACAACCAGTTAAATGCAGGCACTTTAAAATAATTTCCCCTCTTATGGTTTCTCTATATAGTCTAATCATATTAGAATAGTAAGCAAAATAATTGAAAGGTCTGATTCTATTGATCCACGCTGTTTGAGTTGTTTGGGAGGTATTTAAAACATGGACGTATGAAACAGGTACACCAATTATTGTGGGAAAACTTTTTATTCGATAAATAAGAATGAAAAAACGTGTAATGTTACTCAATCAAAAATGTTGATAGGAGCGAAAAAACCTTTCAATCTTTAGGTATTTATGGGACCTACAGAATGAAACCACACGTAAAAAGATCCCAATAATGCAGGTTTTGGCACCTGTTTCTAATGCGACGGAATTTCATGCAGCTACTGGAAATTCTTTAAATTCGAAGGCTTCTTACTTCTAAATAACCTCAACAATAATTGGAGTCGAGATTTTCGAAAACAAACGTATACAATATTAATAACCACTTTTAGAAAAAAAGGTCAAAGGAATTACATTTCTCCTTAAAGGAACTGGATCACGTGACCTACTTATTTGGCAAAGTCATGCAGTCATCAAGCACATGATACAAACTAACTAGTCTAAGCCAGTTTGAAACATAATTGTGTCTTCAGCTTGCGTGCAAAGTTTATAAACAGTTCAGCGCATTTCAGTATGAAATATTTTCTTTACAAACTTTAAGACTCATCAGTGACCATGTAGAAGTTTGAGATCTAAATATGTGTACACAAGATTATGAAGAAATCTTGAAAAAAAATGGTTTTCTTCGCAACAAAAGAGAATAGACACATCCGGTTTGTTCTGAAATTTATATAATACCATATGTTTTTCGAATATCGTAGTGAATCTGTTCAACTACCTACAAATACGAAATGCTTGAACTTGTTTAGAAGAAAAAATACAACCCTTGTTTTTCGCATAAAAATAACAATTACTTCTCGGAATGGTTTGTGATTCATGTCGACAAGGTGAACTCGTGTATTTTGCTATCAAATGCCATATGATGAATCCTATATATTGCTCAATAAACTAGTAGTGATTGCCGGAAGACAGGTGTTTTGGAGTAAAAAAAATAGAAATTCTCAAAAACCACTTAACCAATATACCGAAATTTTGTTGTGGTTACTGAAACGTGAGAAGCCCGATTTGGAGAATTTCAAGTATCATGGATGCGTGAAATTATCGTCGCATTAGCAACAAGTGCCAAAACCTGCATTTTGCTCGGTTTTCGACCATAACTTTTTTTACTGTTAGTGGGATCTTTTTAAGTGAGGTCTCATTCTGTAGGTCTCATAAATAGCTAGAAATCTTATTTGAAGAGTTTTTTCAACCTGCAAACACTTTCGATTGAATACCAAAAGACACGTTGTCTCATTCTTTGTCCCACAAAAATTGGTGTTGCCATTTTATGCGTCCATGTTTTAATTACCCCCTTGAACAACTTACATCAATAAAACAGGACATTACAATTATTTTCCTGAAGTTTTGCTAATATGATTAAACTAGTACTATAAAGTTATGTATACTCAACATTATTACCCATAATATGTTAATAACTTTCACAGCTTTAGCTTAGTAGCCTGAGGTCAAATATCGCCAACCTTCATCCTCGTGAGGTATTATATATTTAATATTTGTATGAATTTACTCCAATAAACATCACTATCATCATTATTTGATTAAATAAATAAAGTGAAAAGTGTGCATGGAATTCAAACCCTAATAGTAGTGGCATTCCTTTAGCGCATAGTAAACTGGCTTTTCTACCTTCAAATGTATGTCCATCAAGACTCCTGACAAAATCATTATTAGTATTAGCTGGTAGATCAAGAATATTTTTGGGCACCTAATATACCTCAATAGAAAACAATGAACTAGGAGCCCATGTTCGTATATGTCAAGGTTCCTTAGCATCTTTTGATGTGTTTTAATTGACAGTAAGTTCTTTGACCAAGATGATGTGAATTTTTACTGCCTCGTTATACCTTATTTCACCATGCGGGTCACATTTGACTTATACTATGGAAGTACATTCTTTTGAGGGGGTGGAATACCGAGAATATAACTTTGGTTCAAAAACGTTTAAGAAAAATATACATTCAAGTGGTGGAATCGAGTCTCATAAAAGCCATTTGAAAGTATTGAACTTTGAGTCAATTAAATCATTTCTTGATAAACTGATGCTGGTCGACAAAAATGGCGTTACCATTTTGCACAGAGGATACAATACTGGACAAAGTTACAGTTAAACTAATATGAAAATTTCAAACTAATAGTAATCACAAATGAAATAAAACGAATGTTTACCAGCATCCTTCTGCCATTGTTGGAATTCCGATGTGAGGAATATTGCAACTCCTTATAGACCTATATTATTTGATACATATGCTTCTCAGAACAAATATGACACTCAGTAATAATCCAAGGATTTTAAAACAACAGAAATTGCCTACTACCTCCAAATATGATTAATTTGTGATCATTACCAAAAGTCATCAAGAAACTCGGAAGGAATAAAAAACTTGATATTATGATTTGGCGTGTAATTTTACAGAAACATTTGAAAAAGCTTTATTTTGAATTCAGAAATTGCATTCCTTCATAAGTAAAACGTAGATGACAAACACTGTTGACACAAAAACTAACTCGACGACGTACTCACTATGACAACGTTGTCTAAGAAATACGTCACATCGTTAGAATCTCACACTTCGGGCAGTTAAAGCTGACAGACATAAGGCACTACTTTTTGTTTTTTGTTTGAAAATCCATAAAAGGTCACATAAAGCTCACTATACCGCGAAACAATTATGAAAAGAAAACAAAGAAAAAACTTACGAAGTTGTTCATCGTAACAAAGTATACGGTGCGTGATATTGTTGCACAAACGGAAGGAAGCTTAGAACTGATGTCTTATTTTATGAGAGTAACGTATATATACTGGACCGGATCTTTCACTACTTTCACTAGGGAGATTGTTCATCCCGTTCATTCTTTGCCAGCCGGTCTGCTGACATAATCGCATTAGAAATATGTGTAGCAGTTTAGATATGAAAACTGGGAAGGTAAATGTCGTTTTTTTTGCTTATGTATCAAAGCAGCTGAGACTTGCATGGTGTGATGAGAAATACGGTGAAGGTGATTCTAGGTGTAATTTGTCACCTCTCCCGCTTCGTTTTTTGTTTATTTATTCATTCACCTTTGCATCATGCCTTGTAGCATTTGCCGTTACAAGGTAAGATGTAAGGGCAAAGGAAAGGTCTGGTAAGTATACACTTTCAGAAGCTCACAAGTTCTGTAGAATACTGTTAATGCATATAGGAATTTGAAAAGCAGAAGGAATACATATAACTCAACTTATAAACTCGACTAACGATACCCGAAACTAAGTAAACAGTCAGTCAAATACGAGATTTGTACATGCCATTTCGAGTCACCGAATAGTGATTATTCACTTCGGTCTGTCCTTTACAGAAGCACACAAAAGTAGGATTCGATATTTCTCAAAAACTTGAACATCCACAAAAATATTATCTAACAGAGGATCTACAGATGGACCAATAGTCTAACGGAAATGAGTGACATGAGTCAGTGAAAGAAGACCTCCGTTATATAGATATCAGCATGATTTTGAAAACTCGCTGTCAAGGGATACTCCCAATATACCAAACAGTCAGTGATTATGGACACATGTTTATATGAACCGTCCTACTTGGATTTATTTTAGGAATGAGCAACTATGTTTATGACTAATCGTAAAGTAACACCCTGTATAATGAGTTATATGTATTATTCATAACCTGGATCTACTCCACCTTTGTATTATATTGTTATTTAATCCGCAATGTGGGGGCATCAATGATATTTTCGATTTACTGCTAAAGATTGGTTGTAACTTGTACGAACATGAATATGATAAATTAAATCAAATACCTTTATTTTTATCAGATTCCAGAAGTAGGACAGTCAAAAGCTGGCATTTGGGTTGCGAGTGGAGTGTAGAACCGCTGAGAGGACCTTCATCTGAATATGACCTATAGAATGACATTTTTTAGGGTTAGAAACGCTATATGTCGTAAATTGTTAGAGTTTCCTATACCTTATATCCTAGAAGTATCATATTATTGGGTGGTGATCAACTACCTGCCTTTAAGTTGCGATCAATAATCAGTAGTCTTACATACTTCACAGCTGAGCTAACCTTCATTAAAGCTGAAGTCAAAAAATTACACTTTTTTGACATATCTTGGAGCTACACTCAAGACTACCCGTTTCTGCAGTTTGATGACATGAATCGCTGCAAGAATATAATTGTGAGCAAAGCTGGAAAACCCACAATTGGAAACTGAATTTTACACACAGACAAAATAAACTGCAAGGGTGAGCAATTCTCACCCGAATAAGAGCTGACGCAGATCTGAAAATCGCACTTTACAAACTAAACTTAGTTTTGGAAAATAAACCTAGCAAACTGAAGCGAGGACAGAATATCTTAGTTTGAGCGTAAAATGAACCCAACTAAAAATATGAAATTATAAATGACGCTTTGAATATATTTTGTCAGAACTGCTAGATTCGGAAGTTTGTATCAGCTCTATTGAATAATTTGTCTACGATGGGGAGATGTATAAATATTTGGCAGTTTGGTTTCAGGAAAGGTATGTCAACGACAACAGCAATAAACAGTCTCACCAAAATAGTCAACGAGAGTTTTGAGAACAAGCTATTCGTGAAGGCTGACTTCTTCGATTGAACTAAAGCCTTTGATTGCGTGGAGCATGAGATACTGCTGTCAATGCTGTCTGTCCTTTTATTCCTTGCCTCCATCCAGTGCGCAGCTTCTCATGTCTTACCTGTCTGTCAGGCAGCAATTTGTGGACTATAACAATTACAGCTACCACATTTTTGCTGGTGGTTTTTGATGTAATCTTTTGTTGTATTTAGTCTTTCTTTGTAATTTTTAACTATCTCTATTTGTTTTTTGTCTAAGTTTTAGCTTTGGTTTAGTATCTTTTTTGCCCTTTATTGCCTGTTTGTATTTCATGTTTGTCTTGCTTACGTATTCTTTGTTGTTCTTACTTAATATTTTATGTCTTACTTTAACTGTGTAATAGCACCAATAAATTATTATTATTTTTTTAGCACTTCCTCTTGCAATGTTGCGACAGTAAGTGAATCCAGATCTCTACCCGAGATTAAAGCGATTCACCCTAATACGGATGATGTGTTCTGGTCTAGACATTTCACATTCTGCTTATTTATATTTCCAGGTTTTATACTTGCTCAACTTTTCTGCCTCATTCAGCATTACATCGATTAGTAAGCAGGTTTTCGTTATTTTGTCAAGGTACACTATGTCTGGGCGGTTCGCAGGGTATGGTTCGATCAGAAACGAAGAGGGCATTACACATGATACGGACCTCCTCGTTTTAAGCAACTTTATTGTTATCTGGTGTGTGCTCATAAGACTTGTCACAGACCTCTATGCCAGCGCTTTTACTCATCAACCAGTGTAAATACCTTGCTATATTGGTTATGTATTTTTGTGAACACAGTAGATGCGGGTGTGGTACATCCAGCCATTGTTATTGTTATTATTATTATTATCATCATCATTATTGTTGCTTTTATTATTATAGGGAAGCTAAACTATACTTTCAAAGTAACAAGTCCAACCACTACCTACTTCTGCTTCTTATTTTGGAAAAGCATCTGTTTTTCCCAATTTTTGTTGAGAAATCCAACCAATCGAATTTTTTATACTTGCGGTGACACGGAGGAAGAACCTGTTGACCTTTTTTCCTCATTTACTTTTTCTCATGCTATGCGACCGCAACCATATCGAAATTTTTCGGCCGCACTATACTAACGGTTACAGTTTTATTTACCTCAGCAGTCAATCACCTGGATCGGATGGCGAGAAATGAAAGCACACATTTTAATTACAAACTGTTACAATTATAGATCGATCGAATGGTAAGAGGACGATAAGTAAACGTATATACGTTGAATGTATGTTTTTGATTAATTGGTATCATAACGTCATTGTCGTGGTGTAGTTTTATTGCCAATTGAGTCAGACTGATGATAGAAGCTTAGACAAGTAATATCCAGGCATTTCTCAAAACATATTTATGACCTTAAATTACAGGTCAGTCAAATTAGATCGTCGATTTTTGTCATCCCAGTACAACATTCTATTTGGTAAAGGCCATGGGTCACGAGAAGATCAAAACTTAATTGCCTCTTTATTCTGTTTTGAAGTTTAATAAACATTTGTACAGCTTGTTTTCCCCTTCATCTTTGTATCAGGAAAATTACATTTTCGCAAGCAGAGGTGGATGTAAGGAGATGCACCCGACGTCAGTCCCCGGAATGCTAGGAGTCGTATAACAAGTTTTCTGCGGCTTTATATTGGATAAGGTTTATTTTCTCTATTTATCCATTTAGAGAAGAAGGATATTCTTAGACAGCCAGCCAGTCAGACCTGAAAGAATGGTATTCTTTATTATTCTTTCCTAAATGTTTATTTTCTCCATTGAGACACACAAACAATATTGGATATCAACTAAAACCAGTACAATATCAATGAAAACACTGCGTAGAATTTGAATTCGTCTTTCAGGACTAGCAATCAAAAAGATAATAGTAGAAAGACCACTAATAATGTACAACCTCAAAAATGAACAGGTCGTAAACCGAATATTGGATATGAACATTTACAAAATAAAAACTTTAAAACTCTGTACTTTAGATACTACTGAGTGGTAAGATTTTTTCAAATAAACATGGCGGTTGCTGATTAAACGGCAATTCGGCGTATAAATCTGACAAGCCGAATTTTGAGAAAGGAGGAGTACGAAACGTAATTGCGCATGAGCACTTTACAATGATGCCAAAAACGAAACGAAAACGATAAATAAACGTGCATGTACATTTACGACCAGCGGCATAGCAAAGCCCCGAGTCTTACGTCATGAGATTATAGGCGAAGCTTTTCCATTGGGCGCCAGAGCCCTCGGACTGCTACTGTTAATGAGTAATCGTAAATAAAAACAAAAAAAAATAAGCTAGTAATATAGCTTCCGTTCGCCTGCCCACAGACTGCCAACCATGGACAGCTGTTGCGTGCTTTTTGGCAACTCCTCAGCTTGATGTAGGCCTAGCAGGTGGCATCTAGCGGCCACAGTGGGGGCCCGGCTGACAATGCGAACTGGCATACAGCTCCAACAGACAGCTTGCTGTTTTCAGTAGTGGTCAGTTCTGGTAACAGGTGGTACTTTGTGCTGACTTATTTTAAAAATAAGTAGGGTTAATGTATTTAATCAAATTACTTTAACATTTGGAAATACAAACAGTACTCTAAATGTAAATGAGGCCACGTAACATATACAATACAAACATTAAAAAAATCATAATTAAAATGAATACAGAAAATTTAAGTTAAAATACGAGGTAGAAGGTAGCGACGTCCGATTTGCTCCCGCTAAGCCGCTCTTGTGTGGTTGGGCGCCAATGATGCCAGATGTAGAATGACAGATTTACAAAGACAGGTTTTATTTTTCACATACTGATGTATACAGATGATCAGCAAATAACGTGTTTGTTCATAACCTTACATATGTCTCACAACCTAACCAGCATTATCTGCTTCTAGGTTTCCCATTACACCTCACTGTATTCTTACATTTACCGAATAACAAGCTCTTCTTAGGTGTTGCCATTTGAGAATGTCGTTACTCATGGAGGTTTGATCCTTTTTTGTGATTTTGTAATTTATTAAACACCTTTATTGTGTATGATTTCAGTTATTAACAGACTTTCGTACTTTCCGCCTTTCCGCCATATTAAGCGATACTAGCGCTTCAAGCGGCCTTTGTGCAGTGCTAATAGTATGCAGAAGTATAAAAAATGATACATGTCCCGTACTACGTTACGTTTCACTCGCAGCAGCTTGAGGAATAAAATTTTAATAACTCCATTCAGTTATTTACGGACCGATGAGGGGCATGCATGCGGAAGCAAAATCGGTGGGCAAACAAAAGGTCGACGGGAAGGGCCGTGGGAAGGGCACTTCGGGTGAAAGCGAGTTTGACTGTTTGCTTACCGTTGGCTAATTGGTTCAACTTTCAAAAGCTACTCATCAAGATAAATACACCAGTTGCCTTTTCGAATTCACCTGCAATGTTAATGAATGGAAATGGCAGAAAGGGGCAATATGAAAGACAAATGTTCAGTTATAAGGCGAGATGATTGTTTTTAGGATCATCTGTTTTAGCACAGACGTCATACATGCAGATGCCACAGCGACCCTTTGATCATGCTGTCATCAACTATTTGACAATTATCCCACCGATCACCATGAACGCTCGGAGGAATTTTGTCCATTAGAGCCACAACAAACATACGAATGTGCTCCCGAAATTCTTCGAAACCAAAAAAAACAGCTCCTATGCAGGGTAGTGTGGGACGTTTGAGGTGGTGGTGTTTTCCTGATGCTGCCAAATCTTAGAGATCCCACCAGAAGTTTTATAGTTCGCAGATAGACGTGTTTATCATAATAAAGAAATACAAGTAGTCGTGCAGAAATTGAGATGAAAAACAACGGACAATCGTGAGCATGTCGGCATTAAAGGAACAGGAGTTGAAATAAAAGTATTGGTAACCCGAGCGTCATACGTTTCTGCTTATTGGCTTCATCAGGACCAAATGAATGTGCATCGAAAATACCGAAGTAAAAACGTATGCCCATCACACCTTGATACGGGTGTAAACTGATGGAAAGGACGAAAAAAGAAATGCAACTAAAAGGCACCAAGAAGAGCCAGCATGCACATTTTGTGCCTTCGGTGAGAAGATCTCATGTTCACCAGGTATCCACCAACGCCTCTGCGGAGGCTAGCTTTAGCTACCTGTCATGGTACTTCAACCCCATAAGTAGATAAAACGAGATACCAGTAGTCTTCAGATAACTTAGATGAAAAACAAAGACAATCGTGAGCATGTCCGCTTCAAAGAAACAGAAGCAGAAATAAAAGGATTGGTAAC